GCAAGCCTCGGCGTTGCTCCCGCGCCTCGCTCAACCAGTGAGCGGGAACCGGTCTATACGTGGGATCCGAACCCTCGGACGGGAGCGCCGCCGCGCTTCCCAAGCGGCGCACTATCCAGTGCGCCACTGGGCCGGCCCGCACCTTTTTTTTTTTTAAGTAGAGATTTTTAAGGCCATATTCTACAAGACGTAACAAAAGTAGAAATGATAAAAAGATGACCAAACTATCTTAATTTAGTAATTAAAAAAAAATCTCATAAAAATCGTGGGTCGAAAAGGAAATTAAACTGAAATAATTAGAATGCAGTGAAAATAACTGCCCCCTGGGACAGTCACAGCTGTGGCCTTTCTCATTATTAGAATGGTTATTTGCACATTCGTCTTTTTTTTTTTTGGTGGCTGGCCAATACAGAGATCCGAACCATTGACCTTAGTGTTATAATACAGCACTCTAACCAACTGAGCTAACCTGCCAGCCCATGCATTTGTTTTTCTCTAACAAAAGTCTGTGATTTTCTGAGTTTTACTTTCTGTTGTATCCACCAAGATGTTTTGCACTCAGTAGCTGCTCATACATTGAATGACTCTTCTCTCCTCCATAGAATTTATCTTTACTGATTACATTTTTTCTTTTCTTCATTTTAAAAATAAATGCTATAAACATTATATATTTTCCCTTTCTTGTCCACAATATCTGCTGCTTTTTTTTTTTTAATGGCTGGTTGGTACAAATCCTGGACCTTGAGTGTTATCAGCACGTGCACATTCTAACTGGCCAGCCCTCAGCTTCATTTTTGATTAAATACTTGTTCACTATAAAAAATTAAAATAGGGCCGGCCCAGTGGCTCACTCGGGAGAGTGCGGTGTTGATAACACCAAGGCCACGGGTTCGGATCCCATATAGGGATGGCCGGTTTGCTCACTGGCTGGGCGTGGTGCTGACAACACCAAGTCAAGGGTTAAGATCCCCTTACTGGTCATCTTTTAAAAAAAAAAAAATAAATAAAATAATGCACAGAAATAGGAGGAAAAGTAAAAATTACCTGAGATCCCACCAGTAGAAATTTGGTGATCTTTCTGTCAATGCATTTTTTTCTGCCTATACAAGTACAGTTATATAATGCTGTATAGATAGGATATCATACATTTTAAAAAAGTATGAAGCATATTTAAAAAAATACGTTGCGTTCTTAAGATGTATTGGGATAATTTCCAGTCACCTGTTTCCCTCTCCTATGGCAGGGAATATGCTGGGTATCCTTCCATAGCTTTTTCTATACTCATATTTCACATGGAAGTGTGTACACATATACGGGGTTTGATCAAGTCTTGCAAAACCAAGATAACGTAATACATATTTCTCTGCTCATTCAATAACAATACAGCACAGAAGTCAATCTACGTCAGTTGATATGGATTAATAGCTTTTCAAGGCTGCCTAATAGTCCAGGTTATGGACTACTGTTCAACCATTCACATATTGACGGAGGGGCTGGCCTGTTAGCTCAGTTAGTCAGAGTGTTGTGCTGGTAACACTAAGGTCCAGGGTTTGATCTCTGTACTGGTCAGCTACCAAAAAAACAAAAATAAAAGAAACCATATACTGATTGAAATTCACTGTTTCCAGGTTTTTGCCACTACAAATAATGCTGCAGTAATTGCAGTAGAAGACTTTGAACTATTACATAATCACATGCCTTGTTTGGGGGCAGTTCCCAGGAGTGGATGCTGGATTAAAGGGTTATTTTGGAAAGGAGGTACAACTTTTATAGACAACAGAATGCTTTCCAAAAAAGAAATTCACAGTAGTAGGTGTCAGCACATTTATTTTTTGCTATTTTGACAAAGAGATTCCTCAGTCATCTTAATTTGCACTTTCCTGACGGGAGGGGGTCTTAGTCCATTTTGTGCTGCTGTAAAAGAATACCTGATCTGGGTAATTCATAAAGAACAGAGATCTTTTTCTGAGGGTTCTGGAGGCTGAGAAGTCCAAGGCTGAGGGACCTGTATCTGGTGTGGGCCTTCTTGCTGCTTCATCCCATGGCGGAGGGCAGAGGGGCAAAAGAGCGCTGTGGGAGGGGGAAGAGGTAGAACTCTTTCTATTATCCTGCAATAATGGCATTAATCCATTCATGAGGGTCCTCATGACCTAATCACCTCTTAAAGGTCCCACCTGTCAACACTGTTGCATTGGAGATTAACTTTCTAACACATGAACTTTGGGGGACACATTCAAACCACTGTAGGCAGGTCGCACACCCTTTCATGTTTCTTGACTACTTGGATTTGCTCTTCTGGGACAAGCCCATTCCTATTCTTTGCTAAGTTTTTTTTTTTTTTTGGCAGCTGGCTATGTACAGGGATCAAATCCTGGACCTTAGTGTTATCAGCACCACACTCTCCCGAGTGAGCCACAGGCTGGCCCTTTGATTTGATTTTAATATGCACTTTTATTTACTTTTTTGGTAATCAAGTACAGTTAGCCCTCCATGTCTGTGGATTCAACCAACCACAGATCAAAATTATTAGGAAAATAGATGCATCTGTCATGAAAGTGTGCAGACTTTTTTTTTTTTTTATCATTATTCCCTGAAAAATATAGATAACAACTACTTACATAGCATTTACATTGCATTAGCCATTTTTTTTTTGGCGCGGTGGGGCAGCTGGCTGGTACAGGGATTGAACACATTAGCTGTTGTAAGATGATTTAAAGGATGTTTAGGTAATACACAATCACTATGCCATTTTATTATCACGGACTTAAGCATCCTCAGATTTTGGTATCTGGGGGAGGCCCTGGAGCCAATCCTCCAAGGATACTGAAGGACGATTACATACCATTTCATTGTAGTGTGAATTTTCTTGTTTTTGTAGTCTCTCAACCCTTAGATTACCCTTACAGCCACCTAAATTGTATTCTAAATGTTTTGTTGTTTAGATTTAGACTCTACACCATTTATTAACTAAATCATCCTTTCCTTACTGAATTGAAATATCACCTATGTGGTATTTCAACCAGTATAAGGGTAATCTATTTCCGGATTCTATTCTGTTGCACTAATTTCTTTCCTGCAACAACATCATATTACTTCATTATTGTTTTATATGCTGTGTTTATTATTTGGAAAGGCAAGCTCCCCCTGTCTCGATTACAACTTTTCTTGCTAGTTTCAGTTATTTTATGATTTTAAGATAATTTCTTGTTTTCGCGACCGGACGATGCAGGGATCAAACGCTGAACCTTGGTGTTACCAGCACCACGCTCTAACCAACTGACCTAACCGCTCAGCACCCCCTATTTCAAGATCATTTATTCAAGTCCCCACCAACCCCTTTGGGATTCCAATGGAAGTGAATTCTATTTGTAAACTAATTTCAGAATTTACTACTTTATATTATCTTTAAAATTTCGTGTTGTTCCATCGGTTCAGATATTGTTTTAAATCCTTCAATAAGACCACTCTACTTTATAGCTTTTTTGGGTGACTTTTAATGTTTTTCAAAAAAAACAGGAAGTCCCTTTTACCTGCAGCGCAAACGGATCCGGTTATCTGGCGTTCGCCCGCCCCTTCGAGGGTCCCGCCCCCACGGTTCCGGGATACCATGGAAACGACGATTGACGTCACTTAAGGCTTCCGCACCTGACCGAGGGCGGATCGTGAAGGGAAAGGGGCGGAGAGGCAGCCTTGCCCCTTCTACGCACGCGCATTTCCAGCTCCATACCTTCCCGCCCCCCACAATAAATGTTGCTCCGTCTTGGGCTTTTCCTCCGCCGCTTCTCGTTTAATCCCGGCGAAAGTGCTCCCTGAGGGAGGGGAGTAGAAAAAGGCTCCAACTAGCGACAGCCAATCCCAGGACACTGCGACGCAACCGAGCTTGATTGACTCCAACAATTTCAACCAATGGGAGGGCTCTTCGTCCCTACGTCACAGAGTTTGCCCCACCCTATCTCCTGCTTTCTGGACTAGGAGCTCAGTTCGCGCAGTAACAAACGAAGTGCGCGCTGCGACGTCTCTTCACTCGCCGGGCTCCGCCGCCATTTCTTCGCCTGGCCTAACGGTTCGCCCAATCCCAGCGCACATCGAAAAGGACTAAGGCTCCGCCAATCAGGGGCCGCCGATCCCGGCCCCCCGCCACTGCCCGGCCCAATCCAAGCCCCGGCCCTGCCACCCCCGGCCCGCCCCCGCGGC